CCACTGAAGTTTCAACCCTTTCAAGAATAAGCAGCAGCAGATGGTAGTGAAAAATTATGCATATTTTATTATGCATTGCACATTTTGCTTATTAGAATTTTTCATATGACACCCTGCATTTTTAAAAACCTAAAGATGAAAACAAAATAGAATTATTCATTGAAATATTTCAAGCAGCCTGCAGCAATTATAACAAAATGTCAAAATAAAATTCAGCACCCTGGAAGGTAGATAGATCCTCCTTGACCAGCGTCTTGAAGAAGTGTGCTTGTTCTGTGGGATAAGGGCAGGAAGGGAACTCTGGTCGTCTGGTCATCAATGGTCATGCAGAGAAGAGACGGTGATAGGGTGAGGGCAAGAGATTGCACTAAGCCAATCTCACTGAAAAGGGGGAACCAGTAAAGGGAGAAAACTCAGAGCCTTGTCTAGGCATAGAGATAAAGTGCTTCTCTCTGCTCTCTGCCTCGCTTCATCTCTGCCTCCCTTTACTGAGTGAGTCATCCTCTCCTGGACTTAACATTTGCCAGCACTCACCCCCAGAGAGAGCTTGTGGGATTCACAAGCCACAGTGTGGGCGTGTCACTGAGACTGTAGAAGAAGAGGTATGGGGGTAAAGCGGAGTGTGAAGATGCTTGTGAATCTTGGGCAGGACTCCCTGGCATCTTAAAGACAACATTCAAGATCAGGATGGAGCAACCACGACATGTAAGAGACTTCTAGAAATCATCAGTGGATCGCCTCCAACTAGGCTTCTAACAGCAGCTAGAACCTAGAGCCGGAGCGGCTGGACACGTCGTTCTTAAAGATCACTTGAGTCAGCGTCACACGAGTCCCTTGGCCTGACAGATTACCACACAGCACACAGCCAGGTGGGTGGGAAAGCGAAAGGGCTCTGGCATCAAACAGACAGGGCCAGATCCTTCCCTCTATGCCCCATTGTCTTTTTGACCTAGAAGATATTACACAACCTTTCTACCCTTGAATTTCCTTCCCTGTAAGCTCTTAACTATGAGAACATTGCTGGCTTGTTCTGAGAATTAGAAATCATGTTATCATGCTTAGCACAGCCTCGGTCTGCAGAGGGCTTTAGTACATGGGAGTCGCTATGCCAATATACTCATTGGGTACCATCTCCAAACCCTAGTCTTCCCCATTGTAAGCCTTCTTAGACCCTGTTTGGTCTCGCTGAGGATACTTCTGGGACACTTTCCTATGTGAGCATCCCTGCTAATAAGGGGATTGGGGATGGCAAGTCATGGGGGGGATTCCATCTTGAATAAGTTTGTGTGAAGATGTGAGCGTGTGCACCTCACAAGTATAGCTCATAGCTTCTCCTGTCTTTCACCACTGTGTTGAGGGATGAAAGGCAGGCTGTAGGATCATGTTGTCAAATGTTGCATTGAGAAAGGTTACTCCCTCTGGCTCTCATTGCTTTTGTTGCATTGTTGTCCTCATTTTCCCCCTCTAATGCTTCTCACATTACTTGCAGTTCCTGTCCTTCAACTTTAAGACTCAAAAGCATGACACGCTGTAACTGACAGAATGAGACACAGGTGGCAGCAGGCCACTTCCAAGCATAGGTTTAAGAGGCCGCGGATATTTCCATGTGGCTCTCAGTGTCCTGTCATCATGAGGAGAACCTACTCACACTAGCTTACTGGTCCAAGGAAGTTGGGAGACTTTTAAAGCCTGGCCCCCCAGCAAAAGTATCTGTATCAGCCAGCACACAGCCAAAGTTCCGAGCACATGAGCAAAGCCAGTGGTAAATGTTTTTAAAATCATCTGTTATATAGCATTTTTGTGCCAAGGGACAATTATTACCAAAATTTATGTGGGCCATAAAACACACATACAGAAAGCAGTTCTAATCCTATCTCACCAGAATACAAGCTCCAAAGAATTTATGGGTGGGATATTTACAAAACTATGACCAAGTTAAGTGAACATTCATAGATATCATTTTACCAAACCGCAACCTTAAGGTTATAAAAAAATAAAAAAAAAAAGGCTAAGAAGAAGAAAATAAGTACGTGTACTATATCAAGTGAGTGAAATGGCTAATGGCAAAAGCAAAGCGAATTACAAAAGAGATGCAAAAAGTCATGGGGATTCCTATTTGACACAGTTCATGTTGGTATTCAGCCTGCATTCACTGAGCACCCAGCGTGTGTCAGCACTAGACTGGTCTCTGAAAATAGACTGTGGAGGGAAATGCAGAAGCCTCAGGTCCCAGAAAATTTGTATTCTATTAAAAATTTAGAAAGCTAAATATTTTAAAAAGACCACTGGGACAACCAGCTCATAGGTGCTATGAAGAAGTTCAAGCAGAGTAATGGTTTACATTAGATAGTCAGAGGATGACCTCCCATGGGAATGAGACTTATGTGCTAGGAAAGACCCAGTGGAAGAAAGATGACGTAGAAGGTCATAGCAAATGAAAAGGCCAGGATCTATCCACAGGCTCAGAGTATCTGTGGAAACAGATGAGCAGAGAAGGGGGAAACATTTCAAAATGAAGTGGGGCCATGTTCAAAGAAGCCAGGGCATGTGGAGTTCTGCCGGCCACACTAAAAACAATGCAACTTAGGATGTGCTAAGAATGTGACCTGATTTTCCAGGCTTTGGGAGCTGTGTGGGGAAGAGATTGTGGGTAGATAAGAGTGGAAGGAGGTGGACCAGTTAGTTGGTTGCATCATGGTGGCAACTCGAGGGAGACAGTCAAGGTAGAGAGAAGCAGACAGGCTACAGGTGTATTTGAGAAACACAGTCAGGCCTGATTGATGGATCAGGTGCCAGGGAAAGTGAAGAACTGCATGCGATTTCTAGGGTTTTAGCTGGGGTAACTCAGAGGGTGGTTGGTGGGTCGGGGAGCGCTTCTAGAGATGAAGAAGAGTGGAGGAGAAAGGAACCAGAGGAGAAGTCAAGAGTTCTGTCTGGATGCGTTCATCTGGACTCGGGAGGAGACTAAGTCCTCTAATGAGACTAAGCCGCTGGACATATTAAGCCTGTGGTCACTGCTGTAAATAGAAGCTGGTAGATATCAGCATAGAGAAGGTATTTTAGTCGGAGTCTAGATTAATTCATCCAGGGAAAGAGCTCCCTTTTTAATTTAAAATTTAAGAAGTTTTAAATTAAAAAAAAAATGTTAGCAGAAAGAAGTGGGAGGACTAAAGCGTAGCACAAGCTGACATTTAAGAGCTCAGCAGAGGGAGAAGAGACAGAAGAGGAGCCTGAGAAAGACGTGACAGAGTGCAGCGTGAGAAAGCCAAGAGAAGAAAGCCTTCCGGGAGGAGCCTCATCAGCTTGGCTTCGGATGGACTGTAGATTAACTGAGTCATAAAGTAAGATGAGGACAGAGGAGTTATTGGAAGTATGGAGCTGATCGATAACCTTGGAAATTAAATATTCGGGCTAATCACCGTGGCTCATGCTTAGGATCCCAGCAGTTGGGAGGCTGAGGCAAGAGCTCTCCAGTTCAAGAGCAACCTAGGCGAGGTACAGAGAGGTCCTGTAGGACAAACTATCCAACAAACAGACTCGTGGAGACAGAAATTGAAACAGAATGGTTGAAAAGTGACTGGAATGAGGGAAGAGGGCAGCCCTAAGATCCTGAGGAAGAGAGAAACAGATCTGCAGAGATACGGGATTGATTTACTTCCGGTTTAAGTAGGAGATGCAGAAGCACAATTAAATGTCAGTGTGCATAAACCAACACAGAAAATGTTGATATTGCAGACTGACCAGGGTGAATAAGCTTAGCAACCCTTGTAAAGACAAGATGGGAACAGAGAGGCCATGTGGGCTTCCACAAGACCTGCCATGGTAGAGAGGGAGCAGGTAGTGATGGCGGTGGAGAGCCAGTGAACAACTCAAGTTTTCCAATGACCTCAGTATTTGAGGGTCCAGGAACTCTGAAACTACATCCTTCATTTGCAACTCACCAAACCTGAGACAGCATGAAAATGATCACCCCTTTTACAATGTATTTTAGAAGGCATTATAGATAGCGGATAGTTCGGATAGACAGAGAGATAAATGAAATGGATGGATGGATAGATAGATAGATAGATAGATAGATAGATAGATAGATAGATAGATAGATAGACAGACAGATTGGACTCCTTTTGGAGATGAGAGCGGAACTGAGAGATGTTACACCACAACTACCCAACTACCAGCAATCATTCACATCCTCAGGTCCAATAAATCAGGAGACAACACTGAGGTCTTAGGGAGCACCGAAGGACCAACCACCATGAAAACTCATCCCGGGGTAGGAAACAGGTCAAAGCAGAGAGGGATGAGAAAAAAACAACCTGACTTTTTTGTTGTCTCATTGCTGATTGTTTCAAAAGACTAAACCCAACTGGAATCCAGCTGGCAAGCGATCTTAACAAACATGATTCTCGGTGAAGGTCAGAGAATAGATAAGATAGGGGCAAGTACCTCAGCCTCTGACATTTCATACACTAGAAACCAAAACTGTGCTGGAAACCACTCGGAGGGACATCTTTATACCCAGTGGGACTTTGGAATATGCAGTTAACGGTGCTTTTTGCAAATCGAGACAGCTTGTGCTTTAGGGCTCTCACTCGTATAACCTTCTGAAGCCAGGAGACAGTCCTAGAAATGCATCCAACCAGCCGCGTGCCTTTGTAAAACCTTGAACCCTGTGACCTCCCACTCTGACCCTGGAGAAGTCCCTCCCGACCTCCAAATTGTTCCAGAAATCCTACCGCTGCCTTTGCTTTCCACCTATGTGTAGACTTCATCCCTTTGACAAGACCCTATCCCCTCTGAGGGGACCTGGTTAATGGACACTTAGGGCTAGGGGAGGGTTGCAGGAGGAGGGCAGCATCCGGGAGGAAGGATGCATAGCAGCTGGAAGAGAGCTGCGTTTGAACTGACTTAGGCTGGCCCCTGGAGTTTCCAAAGAGGGAGGGTCAGGGTTCCCATCACTTCTCTCCGAGGGTCTCACGTGCCGCTCTTTGCACTTTCAGATGCGGATGGAAACCTGTGTCGCAGTAACCAGCTCTTGCAGGTCGTACTGACCATGCATCGGATCATCATCTCCTCGGCCGAGCTGCTGCAGAAACTCATGAATCTATATCCTTGGCTGTCGGGAAGTGTGCCGAAGCTGCCGGTGTGCTCTTGTTATAGCTGGCTTGGAATAAACGTGAGCAGTAAATGGCTCCACCTGTCCGTTTAAGGGTACGGTTGTGCGTGCACCGAGGTGTGTGTATGTGTGCCTGTGTGTGTTTGCGAACCTGTCTTTGCGCACCTCTGTGGGTATAGCTCTTTTTAGGTAGAACAATATCAGTTATGCAGATTTCTCTGTGTAGTTTGTGGTCAAAGAAATCAACATCCAAACGAAGGCTACATTATGAGTTAAAAAAAAAAAAAAACTTCCCTTATACATTAGTCACAGATGTATTCATCCTACACAGACTGAGCAGGGCAATTGTGAGTCTTGAATGATGCATTTCTTGATGGACTTCATGTGAGTTCTTCAGCCCTCCCTGGGCTCTGAAGAAAGGTTCAGCTGCATATTCTGGACGGCCTTCTTGCTCTAGGCTGTGGCGCTGACTGTGGGCCAGTTAGACCTTGCTGGATGTAAGCAGGGTGTGGAAGTTGTCTGCTCTCTCCTTCAGAATGCCGGCCATCCTGTGAGCTGTGGTATCCAAGAGAAAAGTGCTGTCGGGGACTGAGACAAGTTAGCACGTGAGTCCCAGGTCTCTGGGGCTGATTCCGGTCTGTTACCGTGCAAATCCTTTTTCCAAAAAAAGAAAGAAAGAAACACTGCAACCTGGGAAAGAAAAAGGAAACACAATAACCAGACTCCCTTCTCTAACCTCCAGGAAGCTGTATCTTCCATCTCAGAGGCCGGTTTGCCAGGGTTGAGCGTGGGGAGAGGGCCACCTGATGAGAGGTACCTGTGGTGAGTGGGTGTCTCCTCTGCAGAGAATTCCAAGCCACTTTAATCTGCTTTGTGTGACCCCATGCTCCAGAGGCTGTGAACAGTGCCAGCCATGAAGCACTCCTTCCTCAGAATGTGCTGGCATCAGGACTGCATGTACTTGAGTGGCCTCTTTCGGGGTGCCCACTGGGTGCTGTTCCGGCAGCTCCCCGGTGCGCTCTCTCTCTCTCTCTCTCTCTCTCTCTCACACACACACACACACACACACACACACAGTGGCACCTGCTCCCCAGCCATGACACATTCAAATGTCCCTCATCTAAAAATAAACTCCTAACCCCGTTTCCCCTTTATTAGACTGTTAGGATTAGAAATTTGATGTGAAACCTTCTTAAACAGTCTGCCATCACAATCTCCAATCCCCACTCCCACGCCCTCCTACACACAACTGCGGTTCCACCGAAGGACTCAGACTTCCCTTTTTGTCACTGTGGCCTCCTAGCTGCCAGGCCCAGCGGGCTTGGCTCCATCGTTACTTATTTCTCCCGGAAGCACCGGACATCACAACAGCCCATACCTCTGAGGCCTTTCCCCCAAGACCTCTGTCCCCTCCCACGTGATCTCCCCCCTGAGCACACTTTCACACAGGGTCCATCTGCTGTCTTCTCACTCAGTAACGTTTTGTGGGTGGTTTCGCACAATGATGCTTATGGCCCAGGATGTCCGTGGGCCCAGGGTGACTTTTCAGATTTCTCCATCATAAAGTTGTTTTCTTGAAGGTCTGGACTAGTTCGTCCTGCTAACATTTTAATGTCTTCAAATCTATTTGTTAGCTTCCCTCCTGTGCTTTTGTTCACCCTTAACACCAAGCAGCACACCAGTTTTCTCTTTAACTCTGCCATGGCCCTGTAGTTTTGCTTGCTTAAACCAGAAGCAGCAACCCCAGTCTTGTGGTGTCTTTGCCAGCAGCTGAGGACTGGGGACTTCCTCCTTTTGAAGGGCTGCCAAGGGATCCCCAGAACGCAGTTCCCGTGCAGGAAGCATGGCAGGATGGGAGGAGCCTTTACTGCAAAACAAACCAGCTCCTTTGATTTAACATTTAAATCTTAGCTCTTTTGAGACCTACGTGTTGTGTGTGTGTGTGTGTGTGTGTGTGTGTGTGTGTGTGTGTGTGTGTTTATGTGGGAGCATATGCATCTCTGTCTTTCCTTTTTACTAAGAAAGAATAAACATTTCAACAAGTTGAAAAAAAATTGATAAACACGTAGAGCCTCAAAAGTATTTGTCAAGTATGTGCCTTGTGCTATTTATGATGTTGTGATACATTTTCTCATTGTAACAAAGAAATGTGTGCTCGTTCTATGTTCTCGGCCTCTGAATTTTTCCCCTTCATCCATTTGCCACCAGTAGCCTCAACATGCTTTGATTTTGATTGTGTCGCTGATGTGGATGTGTGAGGTTTTGTGTGGATTTGTAGTGATCTATATTTATGTGTAAATGCGTGCGCAAGCGTGGGCGAGCTCTAACTTCCAGAACAGATTTAACAAGAAACAAAATATTCATATTTGATTTTTCAAATTAGTCTTATATTTATTAAAATTACATATTTCACCATAATCCTTTTGTGTTTTCAAGATTAGTTTGCTCATCTTTTAGATTTACATTTTAGGGTTTTTTTCATGTTATAATTTATCACTCTAATGGGTTAACATTTATCTTAGGTGTTCTAAAGCTGAGCATAAAGTAAGTAAGATTTGAAATTAAAAACCACGCATCTACCACACTTAATAAAGTATTCCACACTGATGTTTCAAATCTGTGGGTCCAAGGTGCTCAAAATCACTTAGGTATACATGATTTCAAAATTGCACACAGGCCTTCCTCATAAACACAGAACTGTGGTTCTGGTAACCCCTGGCTTTTCTGTATTTAACTCACTCAAAACTCTCCACCAGTGAATATATTCACACCTACTGAGAGAAGACTGACTCCATTGCAGTTATGTGATCTTGGCTGCTTGTTGCTGGACCATTCTCACCAGCCCAGCTGTAATTCATGGACCCCTATATTGCAGTTATCATGTCCCAAAATTGGTAAACAAGAAAGAGTCCATGACCTTGGGGGGCGGGGGGAGTAGACAGCCAAGTATCTTGCCCTTCAGTCCGTCAACAGAAGAAAGATGGTGGGAGCCACTCAGATTCACTGCTGGACTAGGGCTCACATCTGATTCTTGAATAAACAAATACCCTTTTCTCTTTCTCAAAAGACATGTAAACACGGGGATGTCCTTTTGTTCCTTCAAAATATTCAGCATTAGAAACACTAATGAGGTTCTCTTTGGTTATATTTTTGGGGTTATGCCATGGCTTTTTCTGTCTTGCCATGGCAGTACGCAGGTTCCTCAACTATTGCCTATCATAAGTAATGTATGTATATGTGTATATACAATGTTCATGTTACTGTTTTTTAATTTTCAATGCATTTGAAAATATGTGGATATATATTTCCTCCAAATCATTGCCCAAATAGTTACTGCATGTATCAATTACTGGAAAAAAATATTAAAGGTGAAGTAGATCTTTTTCTAACTTACTGATTCAGTTGGACTCCTAGTCACTTAGGCAGAGGCAAGAGGTAATTTGCCCACATTTTAAGAGTTGATTTGGTAAATACTTCCAAAGTTAAATGTTTTATGATTTCTGAAAATACGGCTTCCATTTCCCTTAACTGCTACCTTACATATAAGGATGCCTTGGAAAAGAATTCTCCAGGAATTTGTCTGAAGATCTGCTACTTTGTCAGGTAAGGTCTCCATAACTTGGAGACTGTATGGAGTGGCGTGAAATGAAAAGCTGATGTCTGGACTTCTGTGCTTTCTTGTTCTCCCTACCTCTCCCTTATAGCCTTTTGTGGGCTGCCTCTGACACTGTCGACTGCCTCTGATACTTTAGGCTCCCTCTGACACTCTAGGCTCCCTCTGACACTCTAGGCTGCCTCTGACATTGTAGGCTGTCTCTGACTCTGTAGGCTTTCTCTGACACTGTAGGCTGCTTCTGACACTGTTGGTTGCCTCTGGACACTGATGGATGCCCTTGGACAGATCAAAAGGACAAAAGCCTTAGTACTGGAAACTCAACCAAACCTAGTGCAGCTACGGTATTCTCTGGTATACCTGTGCTTAAGATTTTCATTCTTTTTTTCTTTTGGTTTTATGAGAGTTTGCATTGAATGGCACAAGAGAAGGATACAAAGACAATCAAGGGTCTCTGTTTTCTTTATATTTATTCTTAATTATTGTGGTACTATAACTCACTGAACATTTTGAGAATTCTGGAAATAGTATAATAAACACTCATAACCAGATAGTTTTTATTAATTCTTCATGAAATTTTCCCCTTGTTTTGTTTTTTTTTTGTTTGTTTGTTTTTGTTTTTTAGTATCTTTTACTAATTTTTTTAAAGTAACATGCAATTGATGGGTCCCATTATGACATTTTCAAACATAAACGTCAGTATGCTTTTGCCATACTTGGCCCTGATTCCTCACCAGTAACAGTGACCACCCATATCACAATTGTGGATCCTGGGAGGGGGAGCAAGGTGGGAATAGCCAGGGGATGGAGACCTCAGGCGGTGATAAGTATCTGAGAAACAGACTTCCAGGGAGATAGCTTCAGTGAGACAGCTCGTTTAATTGGAAGGAACAAAGGCTATTTAAACCTTTGAGGAGTAGCTAGAGGCTCTTTGGAGTGAGGGTACATCATTGGCCAGGACCAAGGTACTGGGAATGCCTTATTTGCATGAAGAGGAATTCCAGGTGCTTGCTAACATGACTTTATAAGGAGAGGAAGTTTAACCTGTAATCTGGCCACCAGGCTACATGACCACCTCAGGTGGCAGAGGTGGAGGAAGTGAGGCTATGTGCACCAGGACATGCAGGCCCAGAACAGGGAGGAAACAGTCCTACTCCTGCCAGTCTCAAGACGAGATTTTCAGGGTTTGGACACACCTTGACTTCATTCTTGCTCCAGGCCAGCTCCCCTGGTCGAGTGGCTCCCTGGCCCCACATACTTTGTTCCTTTTAATTTCCTTCACTTATTCCTATCCCTCTAGCCCCTTGCTTTTGCATGCCTTTAATCCCAGCACTTGGGAGGCAGAGGCAGGCAGATCTCTGAGGTTGAGGCTAGCTTGGTCTACAGAGCAAGTGCCAGGACAGCAAGAGATATACAGAGAAGCCTTGTCTCAAACAACAACAGCAAAAGATGTATGTTTGTGTGTGTGTGTGTGTGTGTGTGTGTATACACATATATATGCTTTTATACTGTATAGCTTTTGCTTAGCTTTCTGTTGTAAAAGAAAAAAATCCTCTCTAGTTTTTACAGGTTTCTGATAAGCATTATTTTTCATGGTTATATTAACGAGTAATAAAAAAACATACTTTACACATACAGGCCCCATTTTGGAATATTTGCTCACCCACATGGCCATGTCTATATCCTGTCTGGGTTCTTTGATATGATATGCCTTGTCCTATCAAAGTATTTTGTGTGTGGAGACCCTGAAGCCCGATAAATGTTTTCTTCCCTCCCTGGAACCCTCCACCCCCAGATCTTTTACTGCAGGGTAAATCTCACTTTGTCTTCTGAATGCTTTCTGTAGTCTCAAATTCCTCTGGGAATCTGCCTAACTGTGAAGCCTGGGGCTCAGTGTTCTTTCTAACTCCCTCCTTGTAGGTATTGGATAACAGAATTCTGGATCATGTTCAAAATGGATGCCAGCCTGACCAGCACCATGGAAGAGTTTCAGGACCTGGTGAAAGCCAATGGTGAGGAGTCACATTGCCGCCTCATCGACACATCGCAAATGTGAGTGTCAGGGTTCTGGTGGGTCCTCTGAAACCACCTGCCTCCAGGAACCCGAGCTGTGATGCTGGGTCTCTCACCCCCTCCATGTCCAGGAAGCTCAGACAGGTTGCGAGAGCCCCACCAAAGATGACTTGACATTGACTAGAAAAGCACAGAGGCCCCCCCAGTGAGGACGCGGTATCAGGCAGGAACAAAAAGCAGAGGGTAGCCAGCCCTTACTAGAAGGTATCCAACCCATAAGAAACCAAAAGCCCAATGTCTGAACCAGGGCCTCTTTAGGAGTTGGTGCAACAGGCACCCTTGAGTTTACATGAGCTAGTAACTATTGCGAAATGTCCCAAGCGGAGATTTAGAACATACATAGGATATCTGTGAAAGACCATTAGCCTCCCAGAGCTGAGACGGAACTCAGGCATATTTCACATCATTCTTTGAGTTCCTTATTCACACAGTTGGCTCACTCTGGAAAACGAGCCCTTCTTAATTTGGGGAAGGAGGGCACACATATTACATGGTGGGGTTTTTACGTGTGGTTATTTGTTTTGCAATAATGCAAATTCCCAAAATACAGAGTTCTAGAACTGCAGCATATGGGAGAGATCAATTCACCCAAAACCCTGTTTTTGCCTGACTGGCCTGGGGTCTGTGACTACAAAGCTGGGGGTCTGTGACTGGCCTCTATCCTTCTGCTTGTCCATCACTGCCATCTATTCTGACACAGCTCTGGTCCAGTGGCTCTCATCTGCGCTCTAAGCCCTGCCTGTAATACCCACACACAAAAAGATGACTTCAAAGTCACATCCCACAATCCCAAATAAATCTGTTCATCTGTTTGGTCCTCTGTACTTCTCCTCTTAGAATTACACAACTTGATAGATAAAAGAGGGTTTTGTTTGTTTGTTTGTTTTGTTTTGTTTGTTTGTTTCCCAAGCTAACAACATTTTCGTTTTAAAGATGAAAACCCTAGAGCCCAGGGCCACTTGAAATCTTTACTTCTGTCCTAACATTTTCTACCTGAATTTCCTCCCCCAATGTTTTTCACTGCTCATTATTAAGAATTGTTAATTCAGGATATTTCTTGACTTGATATATTTAAGGGTTTTTCTTTGGCGGGCGGGGGGGGGGGGGGGTGGAGGGAAGCCTGCAGAATCTGTAGCCTTTCCCAAATTTAAAATTAAGGAATCCTTGTGTCAAGAGTCAAGGCTCTCAGAAATGCCACTTTAGAAACCCAAATGTGCATCCTGCTGCCTTTCAACACTGTCTGCTTTTCTTTGCATAGTGTGAAACTGAAACTCTGGGAGACTCTAGGGTGGGCTGAGAGGACATTGAGGAATAACTGGGTCATTCTACGGTCAGGGTTCATATGGTCATTTTTGTAACTGGGACTTTGGAGGAAAATTACTTGGTTTTGCCCATTGTGACCACATGTGCTGATCAGTGGTTCCTTGAGACATGGTGTCCTCTCTCTATTTTTCTCTGAGCTCTCCTGGCCTGAAAATTAGCCCCCTCTTATGATTTCCACCAACAATCCATGACCCTAACAGGAAGAGAGGAACACACAGACACTTGGGAAGAGTAGACATATTAAGGTCAGAGGAAGAACCAGGACCATCCGCTAAAAGTGCCCCCTTCCCACTGCCCTCTTGTCTCTCTTGCTGCATCCAGAAGGTTCTTTTTTTTTTTAATTTTTATCACAGAAAAAAAAATTGACTGGGAGAAACTCAGTTAATGCATCACTTTTGCCAAGTGGAGCTAGCTAATTGTGCTCTGGGAATTCTGTGGGTAACACCAATGGGCTTACTCTTGAAAAGCAGCTGTGATTTATGCTTCTTGTCTTCTCCCTTTCTCGTTTACAAACCAAAGTAATTCTCGAGACTGGTCCAGGAAACTGACTCAACGAATAAAATCAAATACCAGCAAGAAGCGGAAAGTCTCCCTGCTGTTTGACCATCTGGAGCCTGAAGAACTGTCTGAGCACCTCACCTACCTTGAATTCAAGTCCTTCCGAAGGATATCTGTACGTAGCTGAGGGACAAGGGGAAAGCTACCCAGGGAAATGTATGAACATGAGCAGAGTCAGTAGCCAGTTTCCCGCCTGACCCAGCATAACCCTCTCCTTGCCATAGTGCCGGGAGACTTCCCTAGCAGGCATCGGGAGATCTGGAGGCCCGGAATTCCTTTGGCTGCCCATGCTCTGCTTCCCCATGCCACACCCTCTGTGTCCACCTACCACTTCAGCAATCACTCAGCATCTAGAGCTGTGGCACTGGGGTACACATGATATCCTGCATGCATGCTTGTATGAGGGCACACATGCCCTTCACCCCCCTCCAATAATCACTAGACTATTAGAAAACTGTTTTATAATCTTTCCCAAAAATAAAAACAGATAAAAGATAAAAAGGGCATAGGCACCCTAAGAGTTGGAATTCCAGGCTAGGCTTTGAATGGCTCTAAAAGGTCCTAAAATTAAAATAGAGGTGACCAATCTATTCCTAAACATACCTAAATCCCTGAAAGAGTGACAACCTGGCCAGCAATACCATCCTTCTAGAAGCAAACTGTGCTAATTCACGTCGTTGATATAGCCAAGAGGCCAACCAAGCAGGGCAAAGAGAAAGAGAGATGAAGGGAAAGATAGTCAAATTAACCATCAGCAAAAGGAAGAGTTCACAGCACATCCTGTCCCCACTATAGTCCTCACAGCTAATTCTACAGGGTACCTGAGAGCATTATTCCATACAAGAGGACTTGTCACCCACCCAAGAGAAATTGCTGCCATGTTAGATGCAACACGTTGCCATTGGCCAATGTGATTTCTGGAAACATGATACATTTATTCCACTCAGGCTCCCCTCCCACACGCAGGAACCATCTTCAGTTTTGCTCTGACACCAAACAGTACTGTACTGCCTGCCTTAGAACGACCTGTATTTCCCAGCTGTAGGATGGAGAGCCAGAGAGCTGACTAACAAAGTCTGCACGCCTTAACAGATTTGGATGGCTGTCCCAGTCACTCAGCACCAACTTATTGAGCCTAGCTCTGTGTGGTTGAGAAGAGCAAACCCAATCACAGTGATTATGTCATACCTTCTCCCTGAACACTGATATTCTGTCATCACCCAACCGGGAGTCCAGGAGCTTCCACGTGGAGCTGGTTCCGAACACTCTCTGTGCTAACTACCCAGTTTCCTCATGGGCATCCCTTGGACAGCGTGCTAGGCCCCCACTGTGAGGCTCCAGCTGGGGATTTTCCATTTAACCCACCTCCCCTGTCCCAAGACTAGACAGAGTTGAAAGCCTCTGGAAAAAAAAAAAACCATTATTCCACTGGAAATCAGAGCTGTGCTGGAGAAGCCAACAGAGCAGTCCCGGGCCTGTGTGATGCCAGTGCTTGGCAAAAGCAGAAGTGACGTCAGTACAGGACAATGAATCAGAGCCAGCACCTCTAGGTCGGACAGTGTTCTGTTTACAAATAAAGGCTCCTATCTTTTGAGTGACATGGCCCCTTCACAGAAGGCTATTTCAGTGGGCTCTTCTTTGCTTTTGCTCTCTTCCTAAACAGTTTTCTCAAGTAATTTTCCCTCCAACATGAAGCTGTAGGGAAATGTATCTCTACTGTGTTTCCTTAACACTTTATGGGAGAATTATATGATACGGATACTTCTCCCCTTAAAAAGGAAAGCGAGGCAGATAGATTGTGCACATTCCTGGTGAGAAGGACTGGAATGTATGCGTCCACTGAAAGAGGGCGACAGCTTCCTCTTAGGACAGGGAAGACCTGTGCTTCCCGTGGCAGTCTCACAGTTCTTCTAAGAACGCCCCGGGGTGGAGATTGGTTAATGGGTATGTTTTACTAACACGTTTTATCTACACATTCGCTCATTCATTCTCTCTTTCTCTCTCTCTCTCTCTCTCTCTCTCTCTCTCTCTCTCTCTCTCTGTGTGTGTGTGTGTGTGTGTGTGCACCCTTAACAAAACTGAAGTTTCTTTTCCACCCCACTTGAAGTCTAGCAGGTGTCGACCTAGGCTAGTTGAGTGTCTAGTCTTCCTCTGGTTGGGAATTCCCACCATCTCTTGAACAGTAGAAAGACAGAGTGACAAAGCATGCACTGGCACTTAGATCAGTCCTGATGCTTCACTCACCACCTCCGAGCTGTTTCACCTTGGCTTTCAAAATGCAGAGTTCAGCCCAGCACCGGAGCCTCCCATAAGAGTTTCCCTGAGAGTAGCTTCTCCTTTACCGTTGAAGCTGAGAGGTTCCTATTCGCAGGGACATGGCGGCTATAACCATCCCTTAGACCAGGCCATCCAGGATATTTCTGCTTCACACCTGCAGTCCCATTGTCATCCACAGTTAGGAAAACTTAGCTGCTTGGTGCTTAGTTAGCTGCATTTCAGGTGCCCTTCTCGCCTGGCTTCTGCTCAAGTTTCTGACTACGAGGTGGTTCAGACAGGCTAGTGTTAGCATGGTAACTTTCCTATTAGGACTACCTCACATGTGTGTATCTCCACGAAGGATGGAAGGACATCCATACCATGCATTATCTTGACGCTTGTGCCCTAAATAGGGAGGATTTTTGATCACAGATTTTCAGACAGCAGGTAGAGAGAGAAAGTTTCCAGGAGAATTGTCTTCTTGAAAAGAGAGGATTCAGAGCTGGAACCAATAAACATTTTCTACTATGGTGTGCTCTATTCGGAAGAGAAAGAACACTAGATCTACTCAAGCATGCTATTTGGGTTAACTGATGTGTACTCATCTTTGTATGCCTAATGGACTTGATGTGGAGAGGCCCTTATGAGACTCCCCCACACCCCATCATGCTCTTTTGGCCTGGTAGCAAAGATACCAGGGAGGCAGCCACAGGCTTGTTTGCCCATACCAGTTCCCAGCCACCACTGAGCTGAGCTGATGTGCCTCCTCAGAACTCCAGGCATACCAGTACTCCATCCTGATGGTTGTCTTTTTTCCCTCCAGTTCTCTGATTATCAAAATTACCTTGTAAATAGCTGCGTGAAGGAGAACCCCACTATGGAGCGCTCCATTGCCCTGTGCAACGGCATCTCCCAGTGGGTACAACTGATGGTTCTCAGCCGTCCCACCCCACAGCTCCGGGCAGAGGTCTTCATCAAGTTCATCCATGTGGCCCAGGTGAGTGGAGGGATTGAGACATTCATCCTAGGCCAGGAGGTAACCGGCTTTAGCACTTTCACCCAGAGCCTGGTCTGAGTCCTGTCCCTTCTAACCCACAGTGGGGTTTGTGCTCCTTCTGCCGTTTCCTGGTCTAGATGTGTAACTCTTCTGCTCTCTCACCCAGCAGCAAGGCGGAAGGAAGGCCACATGGGCCTTCTCACAATCAGGACTCAGCTCCCTAAGGCTTGTCTGGAGTCGCTTGATTTTCGCCTAACTAGCAGCATGGCAAACAGACTGGCGATTCTCAATTTCACTGATGCTGGACCAGCCTGAGTTTCTTAGGTCCTTGGGCTGAGGCTCTGCTGGATTGAATATTCAATGCTTGAGGGACAGCGATTTGAATGTCTCTTCCCTGGCTGTTATCCCTCCTGCCACAAGCATGCACAGGGGGAAAATGTCTCAATAATAAGCTTGGCAATAACGTAAAGGCAAGAAGATTGTGCTTATTATATTTTTTAACCCTTGGTAGTCTACACCAGTGTTTCTCTAAGTTTATAAATGGTCCATCTGCTCTGATAGCCATTAAAGACAGATCAGACATACTCTCTAAGCCTAGTCTAGTCTAGGGAACCAGAATTCACGGGATTGGATCCAGAAGTCTTTGTTAAGCGCGTACTCAATGACTCTTGGAAGCCAACAATTTAGACGGTAGGTAGTCCACAGATCATACTCAGCAAAGAGGAACATGTGACCTCCGTGCTGATCTGGTATCTGGTCTGGAGGTCAATAAGAATTGAGAGGAAACTGCAGCCGCTGGCTGTTCGTCTTACTATAAGGAAAACATGCAGCATAGAGATGTCAGTTTCCAAGCACCGTGTAACGGCACGTACAGTGACGCTGCTGTCATTTGTCTTTGTCGTCTGTGTCACAGAAGCTCCACCAGCTACAGAACTTCAACACGCTGATGGCAGTGATAGGGGGACTGTGTCACAGCTCCATCTCCAGGCTCAAGGAGACAAGTTCACATGTCCCACATGAGATCAATAAGGTCAGTGAGCTGTCCTCTCTGGGACCCTTAGGACTGCACATCCCTTGTCAAAAAGGTTGGAGGAGAAGGGCAGGGAGGCAAACCCTGAGGAAATCAGGATGGGTGAGTCACAGACCTGAGATTATGCGTGAGAGTCCACCTGGCCTCAGGGTCACTGTGCTCCTTCCTTGGGTCTACAAGGTGTCAGATGTTCAGTCACCATCCTTGTCATGATGTCCTTGCCCAGGTCTCCTCACCTTAGAATGTTCTCCTAAAACAAGTAGAAGTTCAGCTGCTCACAGCGTGTGTCAAGCGCATTTACCACAGTGATAGCCTGGAACAGTAGCTTACCGGAATGCTGGCAGACTTTCTGGACACTTGAATTTCAGAGTCGGACATGCACTCTTTAGACACAGTGTTGCTGGGATGAGCCTGGCCACCGAGCTACGTCCCTAGCCGTCTGCTGCACTTTTCTACCATGTTTTACTCAGGATGGCGACAGTATCTCGTGCACTGTCCTCCATCATTAGTTAGATGTGACGGGAGATGCTTTAACCTCCCAGGGCAGAGGGCTGTGTTAAGTACCACCTGCCATGATGTCGTGAGCTAGGCCTGGCATGGGCTAGCTAACGACGGCTGTTGGAGCACTGTCATACCATGTCAGAGGACTTTACTATCTACAGACCACAAACAGCTTAAACTGGAAGAAGGTCGTGTGTCCCTATCCATTCATCCCATGTATTCAACCTTTCAAGGAATCCCTTTTAGCTATCCTTTCCATCACCATGCTGGACCCGTAAGAAGCCTCTTCCCTATGGCTGGGTAAATGAGGCCATCTTTAGTTTCCTTTTCATTCCCTAACAGCTCTGCTGAGACCACACTGAAGAGATCTCTTACGTATCAGAAGCCACAGAAACAGTGGCAAAATTTAATATGCCCTCTGCCCCGCCATTCAGCTCACCTTGTGCGTTCATGTCGCTCACACTCACCACCAGTACTTGACAAAGGAGTGAGGAGGGACTCCTGCTGTCTCAGAGTGACTGAGTGGGCACAGTCTACGTCTCTGCTTCCTCGCCATATAGAGATGGTTCTTGTTAGACACGGTTTTATTAACAGAATTTGCCGTAGTGTCTAATACGGTTATTTCATGTGAAAACATGATTGGCAGGGTCGCTCCACATCTTCAGTTCTGAAAAGCTGGGCATCATCACACTTGGGAAGTGGGGCTCGGTAACTGGCAGGAACCCGGTGGATTTGAAAAGAGTGTATCTGGCTGCTCCCTTTAGACATAGACCCATTTTGCGAACCCTGAGCCACAGACTAGCAACCTGTACTACACTGCTGTAGCTCCCCAAATAAAACACGTCCCTTCCCAGGCCAGCAGCAAAGGTACCGCCTGCTGACCTCATGAGCCAGGCCTTAGTTACCCAATTCAATGCTTCTGAGAGCTTTCAAGGACACCAGGGAAGGCAACCCATGGTTTAGGAAGACACTTATTATCTACTGTATACATCTTTAATTATTCTGTCAAGTTCTCATATTACTTCTAAAAAGTAAATCAGTTTAATATAAACTGCTAAAACCCTATTTTAAATTAAACTCTGTAGTGATATCAAGGGACAACTATACTCTTGATGTCTGATGTAGCTGGAGTTTTCATTTGGCAGTTGCTGCAGCTACAAATCAGATGCATCATCCCACTGTCCAACAAACTAAGGGTGGGGTAAAATCATGGTTGGCATGACGGTAAGCAAGGCGGCTGCCTTGGGAAGCATGCTAGGCCCCGCCTGTACCTGTGATGACCGGTCTGTTCTGCTTTGTAGGTTCTGGGGGAGATGACTGAACTACTGTCATCCTGCAGAAACTATGACAACTACAGGCGAGCCTATGGGGAGTGCACCCACTTCAAAATCCCCATCCTGGGGGTGCACCTCAAGGACCTCATTTCCCTGTACGAAGCCATGCCCGACTACCTGGAGGACGGGAAGGTGAACGTCCAAAAGCTCCTGGCTCTTTACAATCATATCAATGAACTGGTCCAGCTGCAGGAGGTGGCCCCACCACTGGAGGCCAACAAGGACTTGGTGCACCTGCTGACGGTGAGATTTCTATAGGAGAGTAACCATCACGTGCTAGCTATGAACCAGGGGAGTGAGGGATCCTAGCTCTCTTCTCATATACTAGCTACAGAGCAGAACTATCATCTCCCTTTATTGCTGGGATACAGAGGCGGAAAGATCAGCTTCCCAGAGCAGCTGACATTATTAAGTAATAGCACCTCAACTTAGACTCTGGCTGGGGAAGGGGACCCAGGAGGCTTTCTTGTAAGCAATGTGCCTTGCAGACTTCTACTGGTGTGTTCCTATCCCTGAAAAAGCTGTCCCTAAGCTCTCAGGGTGGTGCTGATAGAAAATCAGATGCAAGCCGTGGCTCTAAGTAGAGACAGGGTACTCTCATAAGGAAGGGGTAAAAACCAGCCAAACAAAACAGGGAGAAAATGAGTTGCTCTTTGGGTCCTGCCACTTTCAGCTTAGCCTCATGTGCCACAACAGCCCAAGTGCAGGTGTGGGGAGTGGAGATCGGGTCTGCAGTGAGATCAGCTACGCTCCTTTCCAAAGCTGGGATGCCCCCCTGTGCCAGCTGCATGGATGTGAGCCTGTGCTCTCCACGTCTGCGCCCTCCTCTGTGAACTCTGGGTGGCCAGTCTGTAGGGTGATTCAAACCTCTCCTCCTGTTCTGAAGTCAAAACCTGCTTCTCTGTGCAGAGCGGAAGGAAAGATGACCATGGTCTCTCCCAACCTCAAAGAGGATTCTGATGGAGCCACGGGTTTCAGTCACAGCTTGGGTTCAGTTCTGGATTTCTGTCCCTTTTTTCTTTTATCAAGTGACTTTGGCAAGTCTCTGGCCTCAAACACCAGCATCAACTTTATACAAAAGCACAGACAGTAAATATCAATTTTAAGAGACCATCTCGGAGCTTTGTCAATATTTAAGAATATTCCAACAAAAAAGAATTAATGTTTTCCCAATTGAAATAGTAGGTCTTATACCAGGCAAAATTTATGAATCTTAATTTTTAATTTTTATTATTTTATTTTTATTTATTTGTGTGTGTGTGTGTGTGTGTGTGTGTGTGTGTGTGTGTGTGTGTGTGCGCGCGCGCGCGCACACGTGCAGGTATGGATATTAGAAGACTACTTTGTGGCATCATTTCTCTTCTTCCAGCTTTCTGTGGGTTCCAGGAATTGACCTCAGGTCTCCAGGTTCCCACAGCTGGTGATCTTACTTGCTAAGACATTTCCCCACTTAGTGGGTTTTAGAAACAAACTCCTTGTCGGGTCTGGAGAGGTGGCTTCTGTTTAAGGACCCTTGTTGCTCTTACAGAGGCCTGGGGTTCAATTCCCTTCATCCACATGGTGATTCACAAACATTAGTGCTGCCAGGTCTGAGGAATCTGATGCCCTCTTTTGACCTCTGCAGGCACCATGCATGTATATTGTATATGGTACACAAACACACATGCAGACAGAACACTCACACATAAAATAAAATAGATAAACCTAAAAACAAACAAATGAGAACCCTGCTAAGCACCAAGAAGATGAACCACTGGAAAAAAAATGAACCAAGAAAGAAACCTCAGTTCTGGGAAAGGCAGAGTGTCCTGTCCCAGCAATTAACTGTGTTCTGCTTCAACCTGCAGTTGTCCCTGGATCTATACTACACAGAAGATGAAATCTATGAGCTTTCCTATGCCCGTGAACCAAGGAACCACAAAGCCCCAGTGAGTTTCCTATCCTAAGACTCTCCGGTGTGGTGGGGCTTTAAAAGCTCATCAAATTCCTTCTCCTCGGCTGGCCTTCAGTTGCTTGCTAAGCGTATTGTTTCTGCTGTGTGCTTGGCTTTGTGAAAAGCATGGAGAAGACTTCCCAAAATTTGTGACATGTTAGGATGTAGTTCTTATTCACAAACAGCTTATGATTTAGAGGAAGGAACTGCTGTAGGAACAATAAAAGACCGAATGCCTAAAGAGGGTCTGAGTGGTAGAATCTGCCAGTTACTTATAAGTGAAAGAAGGCAGTTGTGTGAGGCACAGGGCTGTCTGCCTCCCAATAAAGTGTCCCCATATCTCTTTTCTAAGACTGGGTAATGACTACTGCAGCTGAGGTTCATGTAGGAACACTTTAGAAACCCATATCAGCCAGGCTAAATCGTACAAGATTTTAAGTATGTGTGCTTTCTTCTACTACTGCAGCACACAGTCAGGTATCAGAAAAGGAAGGAGCAATGTTACTCTGATTAGTCACAAGAGTGTCCCTATTCCATTTTAGCCGCTAACACCTTCGAAGCCACCAGTTGTAGTAGACTGGGCCTCTGGAGTGTCTCCCAAACCTGACCCAAAGACCATCAGCAAACACGTCCAGAGGATGGTGGATGTAAGTACCTGTTTCAGCAAGCAAGATCATGCTGTGGATGATTTTATGCTTTTTGGGGGGTGGGGGTGTTGATGGCCAGGGTGGTAGAGACACAAAGGTGAGAATTCTGGGATCCATTCCCCTGGGAGCACAGAGCTGTTTCATTCTACACGTTGTGGCTATAGAATGTTTCAGAGGAAATAATGATACACTGGTCTCCAGTAGGGTGGATTCGCCTTGCTTAAAGGCCCTTGCAAGGGGAGCATATGTTTAAAAGTTATTAGTAGCTGATGGGGCTGTAGAGATGACTCTGGTTAAGAGCACTGTCTGCTCTTCCAGAGGTCCTGAGTTCAACTTCTGGCAACCACATGGTGGCTCATAACCAACTATAATGTGATCTGATGCCCTCTTCTGGCCTGCAGGTGTACCTGCAAATAGAGTACCTACACATAAAATAAGTAAATCTTTTAGAAAAAGTTATTAGTTGACATGGGGCAAATGTTAGCATACAATAATGCTAAAAGGATGGGAAACTTGCACTGCTTGGTTCTGCTAACTCCTTGTAGTCTTTATGCTCGATTCCCACGTGCAGAGTCACAAGACTCGAGGAAGAGGACATTTCCAATTAGGGTAGGCTGTGAGCTTTCCAGGAAGGGGAACAGAGCCCTGTAGGGGAGGCAGAGTGCAGGGAGAACTCACCTCTACACACTGCAGCAGCAGTGTGCAGCAGCCAGTGGGTGGCACAGTTGGCAGTCACAGGGCGAGAGGACCTGGGCACCCTGTAGTGGCTGGGATGTGCCCTGGTGCGCCTGTGCCACAGCTTAGGGAGTGTTGTCTCAGTGTTGCTCTTACTCAGGTTGCTGCCAGCTTTTGTGGATCTGCCCTCTTGCCATTCGGCTAAAGGGAGATATGACTGGAGACACAATTCTTTCTCTCTCAGTAAATGGAAGAAACTCTTTTTTTCAGTCTGTCTTCAAGAACTATGATCTCGACCAGGATGGCTACATCTCTCAGGAGGAGTTTGAAAAGATTGCTGCAAGCTTTCCGTTTTCCTTCTGCGTGATGGACAAAGACAGGTGAGCAATGGTGGGTGAGATTGCGCAAGCGGTCACTGGAGAATTTGCAGACACGTGTGCTGCCATGCTTCCCTGACGCATTTTGAGAAGGAAGAGCCACCAACAAGTGAGGGCCTCACTCCTTTATCCTGGACTGCAGCAGAGTGTGGAATCCGTGTGGTTTCTGAATAGTTCACGCTCGAAGACTCCCCATGCCACCAGCTTAGGAGCAAACAGCCTTCCTTCTTGCTTTGGTGTTACAAATCATGGGATCAACTCATAGTTGTTGAACCATGTTCAACACTCTCTGAACTTTTCTCATGGACATAAAAGTTTTACCTTAGTTATCTATAGAAAACCAAAAGCCTGGCCAGTAAATAGGTTCTACACATGTCCTTCCTGTCTCAAGCCAGACACCGTAGCATAGGCCTTTGCTTCCCTATACCCACATTTCATATCACTTCCCTTTCATGTCTTGAACACACTGACCAGTTTGGCCCTTTGCCAGCAGTGAAGAGCACTCAGCTGCCTCGCTTTCTCACTATATGCTGTCCTGTGCCTTTACTATGAGGAGGACTCCAGGGGTCAGCCGTGGGGAGGACGAAAGGAATGGTTAGTTTCAAGGCTAGAAACCACCCTTCCCCGACTCACCCCCTTCCTTGCCTGTCACTGCTGCAGGGAAGGCCTCATCAGCAGGGACGAGATCACAGCCTACTTCATGAGGGCCAGCTCCATCTATTCCAAGCTGGGTCTGGGCTTTCCGCACAACTTCCAAGAGACCACCTACCTGAAGCCCACTTTCTGTGACAACTGTGCTGGCTTTGTAAGTTCTTCTCAGAGTGTGTCCGAGCTGAACTTGGTGTGGGTGTGAGGTGTGGGTGTGTGTACGAGACAGTTTAAGTGAGTAAGACAGGCATGGCCTCAAATCCTCACATACTCACTCACTCCAGCCCAAGAGAACACCCAGACAACAGAGTCCTCTATTGTATGGGTTTAGCCTGTATCTAGTTTCTTCCAGCTCTTTTTCTTCCCTGGTGCATTAAACTTCGGGGATAAATGGTACAGAAATGTGGGGTTTGGATGTACCTATTAAAAGTGTTGCATGATGTTTCAAATGTTAGAGATTAAGAAATAGGAGGTGCCTTTCTTTCCCTTTCAACAGAAATTAAGTTCCCCCTATTCCGGTGGGCCTCACCACACCCGCGCCCTCAAGGCAGTCCTAGTTAAATTCAGTATGTCACAGAACAAAAACTGAAAAGATACGGCAGCGGGAGGGGCACCTATGGAGAGGAGTTGGGTTTGCTAGAAATGAGAGAAGAATAAAAGAGGATGAAATGGAGGGGTGGGCGTGACTAGAATGTATTATACACATGAGGGAAATCATCTGAAAATAACTTTTTAATTTTATCTCAATTATTACCTGAGTACTGTTTGTCCTAACCCAATTTAAAGTTTCCCCCAAGCCCAGGTTTCTACCCCAGGGCTACATACTCAGTCCTAAGGAGCCTTCTGGCCTGGGTTCATCCACATCAGGTCTATAGAGTACTGGGTCATCCAGAGCTCTTGCATAGGTAGCAGCTTTCTTTGATCAGCAGCTTCTTGTCAGAGGAAAAGGCCATGAGAGAGCCACCACAGTCTTCCCACTCGATAGACAGTAGAATGAAGACAAAGAGTGACTGGCAAGGCTCGGCCTCACACCAGACAGATGAGTAACATGTGGCATGTTGTGTTCTTTGCCTCATAGCTCTGGGGAGTAATCAAGCAAGGATATCGCTGTAAAGGTAAGTCTCAGCTTTGGGGAATGTGGTCATTTTTTTTCCCTTGTCTGAAGAGCTTGCCTCTATAACATTCTTGTGTAGAGTAGTTGTCCAATCAGTCCAAATTTTCTTGGCTGAGTTCAGAACCTTGCATCCAAACTAGCCTCTGAAGAGCACCTTAAGATTTTTGCCAGCCAAGAGAGGGATGTCTGTAAGACCACCAGCTAGTTTCTTTCCCTCTATAAGACCCTCTCTTTGCCTCCGTTGCTCCAGAAATATGGATGGATGTGGAGCTTGTAGAGGCGAGGAAGGATAGGTTCTCAGGGAAAGGGGATCACTTCTGGGTAAGGTTACTAAGGCCCCGGTCAGTTTTTCCTTTCAGCAGCAGCTGCCTCAGGACCTAACTTGCCAAGTGGGCACCTCTTCTTTCCAAGATGAGGGGATGCTGCTTGATTCTGAGACCCACTGATACAGTGACGACAAGCTCTGGGGCCTACCCAGGGATTGATAATCATGAGGTGACCTTTCCTAGATCCGTTAGGAATGTCAGGTGTCCTAGCTCTAGGGGCTAGACCAGCCGGGGCTGACAAGAGAGAGTTTGGCTGTGAGGGAGCTGCTACAGAAGTGAGTGAAAGCCTTCTGAGCACAGTGTCTCATCTGCAGACTGCGGGATGAACTGCCATAAACAGTGCAAAGACCTGGTGGTGTTCGAGTGCAAGAGGCGAACCAAGAGCCCAGCAGGCTCCACAGAGAACATCAGCTCTTTGGTGCCGATGTCCAACCTTTGCCCACTGGGAACCAAAGATCTGCTCCACGGTGAGTAGGCACTGGGGATGTTTCCTGTGAATGTACGGGCAAGGGTCAAGTTTGGAGGGTAAGGAAGATCACTTCATGATTCTCATTGACCCCAGTTGCAATGCCAGGGCTGATTTGTCATGATTTTTAACTCTGAATGCTGTAACAGAGTGGAAGTTGGACATGAAAGCCATCGAGTGCTACTGGGCAACTACACCATAATGGCATCTTGTGTTAACTATATTCCTCTAGCCTTAAACTCAAACCAAAGATGAGAAGGGGGAGAGAGATAGAATGAATGAGTGTATAACATACAGAACATGCAGCATGAAAGAAACATATTATTTAAAAGGGATAGCTGTGTTCAGCAGCAAAGACTAGCATCTCCACAGCTCAGAAATGTCCCGAGAACATACTGTGAGTAGAAACTGAAAACATAGGTCTTCTTGAATGTTTCCAGAAGGCAGGCACAGCTGAGAATTTAATGTCTGCAGTGTAATGGAGACCACTGTGTATGCCAACTGACCAGAACCAGACTCATTGCTAACAGCTGAGGCAGGAGACTCAAATAATAATGTGACTGGCACTTGGGGTTGGCAGCAGGAAATAGGTGCATGGGATTGGGGTGGGGCACATGTTTTTAATCCCAGAACTTGGGAGGCAGAGGCAGGAGGATCTGTGAATTTGAGACCAGCCTGGTCTACAGAGTGAGTTCCAGGAAAACCACAGCTACCCAAAAAGACATCCTGTCTCAACAAACCATCCAATAAACAAAACCCCAAGAGAAATAGAATCCTCAAGATATGCTTTATGGATTTCTGTATGTCTGGGATTCCATTTCAATAGTAGAGCGGTCATTATTTGGGACCTTTCGTTGGTTTAAAGTGCGAGTGCATTAAAGGCGGGAAAATGAGAGAGGGGGGATTTCAAGATGGCTGAACAGAAGTGCCTGACACTTCTCTGCTTCTCAGTGGGTGAGGTGATGCTTGCTGTGCAAGCCTGGTGACCTATATTTGATCCCTGGAACTACATAAAAATGGAAGGACAGAACTGAATCCAGAGTTGTCCTCTCAAAGCAACAGGGATATAAACATAATTTTTAGATCGAACAGGAAAAGAGCAGCAGACTAGGGGAAATGTAAGACGTAGAGACCCAGAGTGGATATTGTATGAGAAAGAAGCCCCTTGACACAGGATGCTCCACAGCCCTGGGAAACAGTTTCCTGTCTGCAGCATGGAATCAAAAGAGCGTCCTAGCAGACTTGCCAGTGGGAAGCTGGCAAACCTAGCTAGTGGGGAGGCACCCGACCCTCATAGGCTTTTTACCTAACTACTAACTTGAGATCTGCCCAGGAGCCATCTTTGGGAAAGAATTCCTGTCATCTTCTGAACCTCAGGTGTGCCATATACAGAAACAGTCTGGAGAAAGGACCTGTTGTCTGACTTTGGTCGGCATTACAGGTCAGAACCCTGCTTATTCCCATCTGTGGGATTTGAAATATTCCACTGAGATGCTTAGCAGGAAATGGACCTGTGAACCAAGTGTGGTTCTCTGGAGTGACTCAGCGACTTTAAGTCAAACTTGCTGAAGTTTGAAGGTCCTGCATTGTGCAGGATGGATGTTGTGACATGAAGGGGGAAGGGTAAAGAAAATGAAGAATAGGTGGAAAGTAATAGAGGACACCCAACGCCTAGACTTCAGACATGAACACAGGCACATGCCTCTACACACAGACACAAAAGAATCCTTTGATAAATTCGGCAATTAAAAAAAAAACAAGTATCACTAAAATATAAAAACATGCTCAAAACAAAACAAAACAAAAATACAAAAACCTATCTTACATAAAAGTCGCTTCATTCTCTAGGCCAGTGTTTCTCAAAGTGTGGGTTATGACCCTTTTGGGGGGGTCAAATGACCCTTTCACAGGGAACACATATCAAATATCCTACACATCAGATATTTACACTATGATGCACAGCAGTAGCAAAATTATAGTCATGAAGTCGAAATGAAGATAGTTTTATGGTTGGGGGACACCATGACATAAGGAACCATATTAAAAGGTCACAGCATTAGGAAGGTTGAAAAATACTGCCCTAAGCTCTGGAAAGCAGGATATTTTTCATCTCCATTTAATGAAATAAACAAAATCCAAAATGACTGTATAGACCTAAATGGCTTTGCATAGAGCTCAAAATTAGCGCTGAGTCCCTGCAAGAGGTAATCTGGGATGACTGCCAGTTTATCTTCCGACACATCTCAAACGCATCACCGTCCCTCTAACCTTCTCTGGAAATTACTCCTTACGGTTAGTATTTCCAGCGTGAGCCTTGGGAGGGGATATTGGCTAAAAGAAAACCTGATGGCTGGTTTGTCTTACCCCTGCCGCGTCAGACAAGGGCGATGCACTGGAGAATAAATACACTTCCACAGAATTAGTCCCAACTCGTCACCGTTAGTCCCCGCTAATCACACAAGCAGAGAGCTCCTACTGCCTATCTGCTCTGCAAGCACTCCCCATACCTGGATCAAGCCGTAATGAGAGCTCTGGAGCCCTGTGAGCCCACAGAAAGCTTTCGCAGACCATTCCATCTGATGTTTATCCTGCTCTCTCCACAAGCGCTTAGGAAACCTTGCTACCTCGAGGCAGGGGTTCTAACTCACAGGGACGATAACTGCCTAGGTAACTTCGATGCACACAGAAAACGATGCTTTGGGGCCAGGAGAGATGGCGCAGAGGTTAAGAGCATGCGTTGCTCTTGCGGAGCAAGAGCCCTGGTTCGGTCCCCAGCATCCGCCTGGTGGCTCACAACCATCTGTAACTCTAGTTCCAGGGGATCCGAAATCCTCTTCTGACCCTCAAGGGCACCGCATCCACGTAGGAGCAAAACATGCATGCATATTTTTTAATTTTTTTTTTTTTCAAAAAGGTGAAAAAGAGATGTCCTTTCTTTGGTGTGGATGAATCCTGATGTTAAAAAAAAAAAAAAAAAAAAAAAAGCCATAAGTTTTCGCTTCTACTCACGTGTGACCCTGGGCGTCCAAACACGGGAGCTGCTTGGAATGTAGATCTCCCGAGACGAAGGTCTCTCTAAAACAAATGTTGAGACTCTTGAGCTCGTCCTTGTCCGAGAGCACTAACAAATGCATCTCTCCGCAGCACCTGAAGAAGGATCTTTCATATTCCAAAACGGGGAGGCTGCGGACCACAGCGAGGAGAGCAAGGACCGGACCATCATGCTCCTGGGGGTGTCCTCGCAGAAGATTTCGGTTCGGCTGAAGAGGACTGTCGCCCACAAGACCACCCAGACGGAGCCGTTCCCTTGGGCTGGTGGCGAGACGCCCCCTGGCCACTTCGTGCTATCTTCCCCGAGGAAGTCGGCCCAGGGCGCTCTCTACGTGCACGGCCCCCCATCGCCATGCCCCAGCCCCGCCCTGGTCCGAAAGCGGGCCTTCGTCAAGTGGGAGAACAAAGAGTCCCTCATAAAACCAAAACAGGAGCTTCACCTCAGGCTCCGCACCTACCAAGAACTGGAACAGGTGCCTTCCTAGTCACCACCCGCCCCCCCCCCTTCCTCTTAGCTCTCCCGCTGAAGTAAAATCCGGTAGGGAAAACAATCCAGTTGATTATTGAGTCAGCAGATTAAAAAAAAATTTTTTTAAAAAGTTGCCAAATATAAGTAATCTAAGCTATTGCAGTGTGAAGGAAGAAAGGAGACGTTAGCTTTAAATGTTTAATTTAAGATGTTTCCCTGCCCTTTCCCCTCGGACATCTTGCTTTGTATCATGTCTGGAGGCCTGAGTACATAATCTACCATCTATCTAGCTTAATGTGCTTATCTGCATGCTATACAGTGAAGCCGCCCACAAGGCTCTTAACAGGCACCACTGTTACAAGCAAGGCTCCTCCCTGTCAGGCCCCCGGGATGGTCAGAGAGCAGTATGCTAGAGGATGTCTTGATTCGGTGACTGGCATGAACAACATGGTATCAGGAGGAACACAAACATGGTAGGGGGGGGGGGGGGGAGCAACGGATTTATTTCCTGGATGAGAAGATGTCTTTTACTCAAAATACCTTCAAAATGCATATTAGCAAAGAGGTAGCCATGTTTGGGTTACCTTCTGAGGGGAAACTACCAAATCTTACCTTTTAGAACAATAAAAGCAATCTTGAAGAGGGAACATGAGAAAAGTGGAGGACTTTGGTCTTAGATGCTAAGACAATTCTTTTATTTTGAGGTTTTTTTTTAATCATTTATTTTTTTGTTTGTTTGTTTGTTTGTTTTTGTTTGGTGTGGTTATTTGAGACAGGGTTTCTCTGTGTAGATCTGGCTGTCCTGGAACTTGCTCTGTAGACCAGGCTGGCCTCAAACCTGCCTCTGCCTCCCAAGTGCCGGGATCTAATCACAGACATTTCTTTATGCCGGTTGTTAAAGACTGCAGCCTGGTTGGTCCTCAGTAAAACGATCAGACCACGCTAAAGGCAGCAGTGTAGTTGTGAAAACTGCTCTGAGAAATGGGTGACAGAGTAATCTGCTCCTGGCCACCAGGCCCATACACCCTGATATTTTACTAGCTGCTTCTCTTTTTTTCTACCTGCATCACAGAAACCTGAGAACCACAATTCTCCAGGGGCATTTTAGAGAAATAATCATGTGCCCTGCTTGTTTTTTTTTTGTTTTGTTTTGTTTTTTTTCCATTAGGGCCCTGCAATGACTGATCTTTAGTCCAACAGTTCTAGCCAAAAGGAACAAACCCAATTAAACTAGTATTTCACATAGCACGCAACAAGGACAGATGATTGCATGTTATTTTAGTTCATGTACTAACTCTGAATCAGTATGGAACCAAATAAAAATGCTGACACATGGTTTTTGAGCCAAGACATATCGACCCAAAGTCTTTATTTATTTTTAAGTATGCACCCAACACCTATTTTCAGGGTGTGGGTGACGATTAAACAAACCTATTATCAGAAGGTATTTTATGATCACATAGCAGTGTCAGGCTCACAGCAAAAAGCTCAATCTCACAGAAGCTCATAGAGAACACTCTGCCAGCTACTCTGAGAACTGAGAGTGTTCCCAACTAACCAGACTTGCACCTCTATTTTCTGATGCCCTTGTAAATCAATCTGGCTAAGGACACTTTCCTCAAGACCAAAAGCCTGGAAAATAACCAATGGCTCTATAGTTAGAGAAATGCCAACAAAACACTAACTCCTGGTTTGGAAGTGAGACAAAATCTTCCATCCAAAAGGCAATATTAGTTATCAGTAAAGGGGGTTGTGTACCAAGGCTAAGTTAACTAGAGCATCTCATGTCACAGAGCTTTGAAGCACCGCTTTCATAGTTCAGAGCAGACCAGACCAGAGACTACTTTCTGCCAGTTCACGCTGCGTGCTATACACTATCCAAAGGTTGTCTTCCTCCGCCCAGTTCCCAAGAATGGATCGTTCTATCTACTAGCCACTCACATCTGTGATCTCATAACAAAGAGTAATTGCTATTTGCACATGGCCACGATAATTAATGTGTTATTTTATACGCATGGCTAAATAACTACTTTGAAGATAGTTTGTAATTCGTAACCACAGTGAATAGGAGATGCCAGTCAAATACAATACTCTTGATACAGTAACTGATTTGCTATTCAGTGCTGCTCTATTAACATGCCTTATTCTCATTTCCCTTTAGGAAATAAATACCCTCAAAGCAGATAATGATGCCCTGAAGATGCAACTCAAGTATGCACAGAAGAAAATAGAATCCCTTCAGCTTGAGAAAAGCAATCATGTCTTAGCACAGATGGATCACGGTGCTTGTTCTTAATCCAGAAATTCAAGGAACAGAGTCGCAGAGGGTGGACTAGGATCTCACTTCAAAACTGACTGCAGAGGTTGAGGCAACTTTGGAACAACTGTCTTTAAAAGGGGAAAGCCAGACACTGTTGTCGGCGTATTGTTCTGTTTTGTTTACCTAAAATATTTTTTAAGTGAGTCATTGGTTTTCAGTCGGTTGACCCAAAGGAAAGAAAAGCTCAAGTATGTAAAGCTTTGAGCATTCATATTCAAACCGTTTTCTTTCTTTACTGGAACCAATACCAAATGAGTGCTAAAATAAGACTACAGTTTCCTGATCGTGTCTCACGCAGGCAGCCTGCTTTACTGATCCATACTTAGATAAAAAGTCCCTGAAGAATCAACTTGCTGCCTTCCCCAGGGTTTCTGCAAATGGAGAGATTTCCTTTGTTCTACCCAAAGCCTGCTCCTAAGGTAAACAATGCCCTCAAAGTGGTGACTTTGACATGCCTGCATTGTTTGTCAAACTTATCCCTACCTCACTACCTCAGAGCTCATCAAGAGCCTCTTTCCTCCCATCCTTCGCCTCCTTCCTCCCTTGCTCATTGACACATATCTACCCCGAAGTGAACTCCTAGACATGTAGCCTGGCTTTACATCCAGAGCTTTTGAAGTGAAATGGACACCCATTGCAGGTCAGCTTACAGCTCTAGGTCTTAGTCATCAAGAACTACAAAATAAAACTCACTACCCCCAAACAGCAATCACCATGCCATACATGCAGCTAATCAGCCAAACAACAAAAACGTGTTTGTCCAGATAGTCTTTCTACAGAATTGAGAACCTGTGGCTTTTTAAAAGAAATAGTCTGTGGACGGTGTTTAATTCCTCCTGCTCTAGTTTCTCTCTCTCTCTTCTTTTAAAGTAAACTATCTTAAGGTCCTCCTTTGAACTGAATCTGCGCTTAAACTGTCTTTCACTTTTACTATCTAGAAATAAGCTAACAGATGTGATGGCTTTAAGAGCTGAGAGCATGTACATATGTGTAAAATATGTATATACAGTATCAGGCATGCATAGAGCTTGGACCTTTTCCTTTAGAAAACTTTGCAGACGTGAACCAAACACCTTTTAGTCACTTACACAAATTCACATAGAGTTCTGTTCGTTCTAAGACAAAAGGTTAACAATGTAAATGATACAAAACCATGAGTAACAGTCTCTGAGTCCTCTTCTATCCTGCAGGTTAAAATCAATGGTTTTGTCTTGTTGCCTAGGAAGCGATCCACACACTCTCTCGTCAGCTTCCTTTTAGTCTTTCAAAAACCATTTCATCTGATTGTGTCCTTTGGCGGAGACTTCGCTTCTGTGCTTGGAAGGTCTGCCACCACGCTAACTCGTAATCCATACGCAGGGTGAGCAATTTCCAAGAGTATCATCTTAACAAAATAAATTCCAAACCTCGCTGGGCTGTGGTGACACACGCCTTTGATCCCAGGGCAAGGGAGGCAGAGACAGCTGGATCTCTGTGAGTCGGAGGCCAGCCTGGTCTACAGAGTAAGTTCCAGGTCAGCCAGGGCTACACAGGCTATTTCCAAACCTACAGCCAACAGCATCCCGTCTTCTTTGGAGGGATGCAAACGGTGGACAGTGCTGCCCCCTGAGGTATTCAGATCACTTAAGAAGTTTCTCTGATGAAAGGCCCTTGTCCATTTGCATACGTGCTTGCAGAGTTTTGGTGACAAAGGGCTGACTTATGGTGAATGTTTCACTAAACTCTAATGAACCCTTTACACACAAATGTATCCTTAGTCTATATCCAAGCTCAGACCATTCTCAAAGCATATCCACCACCTGGTATGTGCACCTCTGGCAGGTGTACGTATTCTATGGAACAATTACATGGGACCACATGACTAACGACAGACCTCAAAATTTATATTTTTTCACTATGGGTATTTTTCTCTGCTATGCACCCATACGGGTGTTAAGCTCGATTTTTTTTTTTTAAGACACTGTCTTTTTCTTATTCCTCATCCCCAATAAAGATCTCCCAACGAGTTTTGATGTAAATAATCTGTAACATAGGAATTCAGAGGGCTTCAGTCACTTCTCATAGCTAGATGACATGACAGACAGCGGGCAGGACGGGACAGGAAAGCCAGCAGGAGGCAGTGGTTTCATCATAGATTCTTATAGTACAGGACAGGGGACGTTTGGAGTCTGAGTTAGTTCTGTTCCTGCCCAGCTGTAGGCGCAGGTACGATCTACCGATACAATCTGGAACAAAGTTTGGCTTATCGTACTGACTTGAAATGTTTGGGCAGATGGGTGTCTGCTAAAACAAGGACCAATCCTGTTGATGAAGGGCAATGTCACCTCTCATCTTCTCGGTTGACTGACTCACCCCTTTACTGACCACTTGTGAAATTCTGTCTAAAGGTGTATAATGTAAAAGCTGCGAGAAAAATATGTACAGAGTGTAAAATTTTTTGATACCTATTGTAAGTTTTCTGTGTCTAATATTTATATGATAAAAGATATTTGGATCCCTGTAACTTCAAGATCTCCTGTTTCTTAAATTCATGCACAGGTAGGCATTTCATTTAAATTTACTGTAATTTAAACCAAAACTACTCCTCCATTCTATTAAAAAGTTTTCCTGGGGGAAAAAAAGGAAACATCCTAGATTATTTGGTTTAAAATGTTCTGCTCTTTTCACAGAATGAGGAACAGTGCAGAGATTCCCCACCTTATAATGAGCTCTCCAAACATGAAGTCTATAAAATGCTTAACACTGATTACAGGGGCAAAGCTGTCATCTCCCCGCGGTTTTTATTTTAATTCCACAGTTCTAGCTAAGCAAACCAGTAAGGAAAAAAGATAAAGGTGGTAAAAGGTGGCTCAGTCTTGTGTCCAGACCCACTCACAGAAATTCATCTGTAGTCATTTGGAGGGATAAGAGGCACAACAATTTTTTTTTTTTCTCCCAACCAATACCTTTGTTGACGGGACCAATGCAGAGGAGGAAGGCCAGCCTCCTCAGGCATTCTACGTTGTGATACATTCGGTTGGGGTTGTGTGCTTTCTTTCCACAATTCATAGTATTTCCTATGAAATACTGAAGTCACTCTGACAAGCTGACGTTGAAGGAAAGGTGAAAGTGTTTCTCAATCACCCATTCCCAATCTGCAGGTCTCGCCGCAAGCCCTGTCCTCCTTACATGGTAAATAAACCAAATGCCGCTTGAGGATACTTCCTGGCTATAAATCTATTTGACATTTTGCTCACTGTTTGCCATAAGAACTGGTAAATGCTTTTGAATTTGATGTTGTGTATCTTCTCTTTAGTGAAACAAGCTCTTTTAAATCAACAGCATAAAAAGAAACAGATAAACACCCATTTCTTATGGTGGGACAGCACTGATCTCAGTCCAGAGGAAAGCTCAGTTACTACTTTAATTTGCTAATTTTTAGTAAGATGATGTCCACACATGCTCCTAGGTGCCACAGGCTGAACAAAGACATGGAAAAAGGATGGACAGAAGGCGTGAAAATGGGGGGGGGGGGATCCATGAAATTAAAAAACCAAGCAGCAAAGAGAAAATATCCAAAAAGGTACAAGTTTTTAGGGAGCAGTGAAATGCTATTCACCACCCGTCTCCATGTATTGTCCTCAGTCCATTTATAACCTTCTCAAGTGATGATCTTCCACCATAAAAGCCCTAAGTTACCCTATCACCAGTCCAGGCACGAAAGAGCAAATAGTCTGCAAACAAGTTTTGAGCAAAGACTGTCATAAGAATTCCACCTAAGCCATGAGGCTGCAGACAACAGAAGGTGAAGGTCACAGGCTGGATTCACAGAATGTGGCTCCACTCTGCCATGACTCCAGAAGTGCCCAGCTGAAGAAAGACTGCCAGTGGTTGCCAGCAGACAACCCCAACAGCACTCATAAAAGGGACCAAAAACAAGTTAAAAACTCAATAGAAATAAACTAAGATCTCTGCCATGTTTACAAAAATCTTTAGAGCTAAAACATTTAAAGTAAAGAGCAGATATGTGATACAGGCCTGTAATCCCAGCACTCAGGAGGCTGAGGCAGGATGATGCCAAACTTGAGAATCAAGTGTAAGAACGAACAGCCTACGCTGCACAGCAAGAGCCTGTCTCAAAGAAAAATAGAAATTAGCTATAAATTTCCCCCACTCACTAACTAATGTTCATGAAATGGAAGAAATGAAAAAAAAATTCTTTTTCAACAAACTTTTTTTTTTTTTTGCCTACCCCACAATATTTTACTCACATATAAGTATATTTTATGTTTTACTTTTCAGAATGCACAGCTACTGATAAACATGTTTTCTTAATTAAGGAAAGCTTTTTGCTTCAATTACCACAAATGAAAAAATAAATAAATATAGACACAAAAATTCTAAGTTTACAAGTGAGAACAACACAAAGTTGTTTTGTTGTTGTTGTTGTTGTTTTCTTTTGTTTTTTTCTTCCACATTCTTCAAAGTCAGCTTGAAAAACATGGCAGGGTCAGCAGCACACACACTTACACTTTTAACATTATCTTAAATTTTACCACAGAGGTTACTTACTATACAATAAAACACTGCACAACTGTCAGTTATCCTAGGATCTCAGACTCCTGGGAGACACAGCTCTTGGGTGTGTCCCTGATAGTGTTTCCATTAGGAGAAAACCCTGCCTTAAGAGTGGACGGTGCCATCCTCGGAGCTGGGGACCCAAGCCCAATAAAAGCAGGAAGGAGGAAAAAAGTCCGCTGAGCAAGCATGCATGCCTTTCTGCTTCCTACAGACTTCCTTTCTGCTGACTACAGACTCAGTAAGACCCACCACATACTCCTGCCATGTGCCAGCAAACGTGAACCAGGAGCCAAAATAAGCTTTTACTCCTCCAAGTTGCTTCTTGCCAGGTATAGAGTGTAACTAAGATACCAGCTGCAGTGGCTAGTCTTGCCGGTCAACATCTGAAATCAACTAAAACCCAAGCGGCTGGCCATGCCTGTGAGGGATTTTCTCGACTGGATCATTCAATGTGGGGTGACCACTGTAAATCTGGATCTTTTAAGGTGGGACGACCCACTTAAAATCTGGGCCACAATTTCAGGCTACAGCCTATATAAAGGACCTGGAAGAAGGAAGCACTTGCCCTTTGCCTGCTTGGCCTCACGATCGCGGGCAAGCTCATTCCCTCATTGGTATTAGAGCCTATTTCTTTGGGATTCCAGCATAATGCTAAAGACCAGCTGAGACACACAGCTTCATGGATTCCTGAACTTCCCATTGTGAGACAGCTGTTGTTATCAGACCATATACTATGTCTGAGTCACCGTTCTATTGCTGTGCAGAGACACCATGACCAAGGCAACTCTCATAAAGGAAAACATTTAATTGGGGGCTTGCTTTGTTCCATAAATTTAGTGCGTTACTCTTCACGGCGGGGAGCATGGTGACAAGCAGGGTGTTGGAGAAGTGGCTGAGAGCTTTCCATCCTGATCCTCAGGCAGCAGGAGAGACTGGGCCTGGCTTGGGCTTTTGAAACCTCAAGGTCCACCCCCAGTGACACACTTCCTTCAACAAAACCACACCTCCTAATCCTTCCAATCCTTTCGAACAGTTCCACTCCAAGCATTCAAATATTTGGCCTACGGGGACCATCCTTGTTCAAATCACTACAGTACACCTCTCTAATAAATCCCATACATAATTTTTCAATTTTTTCTCTAGAGAATCCTAATACGCAAGAGTGAGAATCATGTTTTTTATTGTTGTTGTGGGTGTTTTTGTTTGGTTGGTTTGGTTTGGTTGGTTTTTGTTTTGCTGTGACCCATGACCACATTGTCTCAGGCTAGAAAAGCCACTGAGTTTTCACAATTTGGTGAGCTGTTGTGAGAAACTTATAAGATTAAAGGAGCTATAAAGATGATGGAGGAATGATCTGTGAAATTTCAGGGAGAAGCAGACTCTATTGGGGCTGTTTGATATTTTGAATTAACAATCTGTGGTTTTGATCAGTTGGACTAAAGAATCGGCCATTATTAACAAGAGAACAGGACCACTAAAGTAAAACCTTTGCTTTACTGGGACAATTGATGTTGGTTAGCTAGTGGCGTCTTCTGGGAAGTGTGTCCTCAGGGTAATGCCCAGGAACTGCTCCAGAGGTGGCCAACATTGTGACTCATGCTGGCAGCTGAACTTGGTCATTCGTAAGTCTCCCAGGTGGTACTGGCTTTGAAGGCATGAAGGGGTCATGGAGAATAACAGGCGTGGCACTGTGTGACAGAGCTGGAATCTCTGAAGAGAGGCCAGGAGAGACTATCGGTGAACGTACAGCTCAGTTGCAGTAAAAGACTCCAGTAATTTGAAGATGCCAGTACCATGGGGTAACAGCAGCAGAAGCCATGGGCTGGAGCCAGCCTGAGCCTAGAAGACAAGCTGTGTGTGCTGAAGAGGGCTAAGTCAGAGAAGTGACCCTTCTGAGAGAGTCGTGAGTGAATCCTAGACTTTAGACACGGAGTTATTTATATTACCGGAATTTGCTTTTGCCTTGGTTTCATTTGTGACTGTGCCCTAGTTCTCCCCTCCTGGAATAAAAAAGTAACTTATTTTGACTTCACAGGAGCCTACAGATGAGAGATTTGGAACTTTTAAAGAGATTTTGGAGTATTATAGAGACTTTAAATTTTAAAAGACTTCCGGTTCTTTTTTCAGAGACTGAATCTGAAACTGTTTGTAAGACTGTGATACTTTTTAAGTTTGAAAATGTTTTATATTGTCTTTATTAAAGTTTGATCTTGGGGATAAACAAGAAAGGAACAGTTGAGGCTTAAATGTGATGTTTGTGTGTCCAGGTGACAAGGAGTTAATTGTGCTGGCTAGTTTTGTGTCAATTTGCCACATGCTAATGTCATCTGAGGGGAGAGAACCTTATTGGCAAAAGTCCTGTCATAAGACTGGGCTGTAGGCAGGCAAGTCTTTGGGGGCATTGTTTTAATTAGCGATTGACAGGGCAGGGCCAAGCCCATTGTGGGGGGTGCCACCCCTGGACTGATGGTCCTGGGTTATTTAAGAAAACTGACCAAGCAAGCCAGTAAGCAGCACCCTTCCATGGCCTCTGCATCAGCGCCTGTCACCAGGTTCCTGCCTGGTTTGAGTTCCTGCCTTGGTTTCCCTCATTGAACTGTGATTCAGGATCTGTAAGCCAGATAAGCCCTTTCGTTGCCTAGTTGCGTTTGGTCACGGTGTTTCATCACGCCCATAGTAACCCTAAGGCACCAGCTCTATTTTTTTTCCTCTCGACAATAAGAGGAAAATATAAACCACTTACAATAGCAGAAATACTAGACACTAAATACTTGACATTCTATTTTGTAAAATACAATTAACAATATAGGGCAAATCCAAGGAATACAAAGGAAACAAGTCTATTCCTTTCTGTTACAGATAGGGGTCCTTTATGTACTTCAATCTTGAACAAAATGCCCATTTACAGGCTAAATTCAGTATTTAGACTGTAAG